CCCAAAATGACATTACAGTTCTTGGGCGTTCACCTCTCTTCAATAACCTGATGAAGAGTAAATCACCTCAACTTGACTACTCCATCAACGGATGTCGGTACAATATGAGGTATTACTTGGCAGATGACATCTACCCAAAGTGGGCGACACTTGTCCAAGCAATTGCAAACCCTGTGGATGACACCCAAATGTGGTTTACCTTACACCAAGAGGCATACTGGAAAGATGTTGAGAAAGTTTTCGGTATTCTACAAGCACGGTGAAAGATCATTAAGGAACCGGTAAGAGGGTGGATTCAAGAAAAATTGAACTCCATCATGATGTCGTGGATCATATTACACAACATGATTGTGGAGGATGAGCGAGATGGCTATATTGATGGAGAGTCTGATGACGACCAAGATGTGAGTACATGAGGCGTTATAGGATAATACATTCACGTGCCACAAACAAATACCTACAACAGGATCTTGTTGCACATCTTTGGGTCAAAAGAAGTATGGAGTAGGCATTTAAGTTTTATGTTGTTAAATGTTTTTTTTTTATAATGTTGTTTAAGTTTCATGTTGTTAAATGTTTTTTTTAATGATGTTTAAGTTTCATATTGTTTAATATTGTTTAATATTGTTTAAGTTTGATGTTATTTAATGATCTTCCATATTGTTTAATGTTGTTTAATGGTTCAGGTAGTTATAGGAAAAAAAAATTGAATTTTTTATTTTTGAAATTGTCCCAAAAAAAGAATTCAAATCCAATGGCTACATGATGTCAGCTAGGCCGTTGCAATTTAAACCTTAGGGCGCCCTGGAGCTGGCTAGCTAGCTGGATTGGACCAGCCGATTGGCCTGATTTGGTATTTTTGGCCTAGTGGGGCCCACGAGCCCTTTGACCTAGCTCTCGATTAAAGATAATTTTCGTGTCATTTCAAGTTATTTTTAGGTCTATAACCCTCTGGCCAGATCGGTTGGAGATGACCTTAGTGTGATATTGGCCACTTCGAGGGAAGGTTAAGCTGGGCGGCTCGGCCCAAACTACTCCGTATCGACGTGGCTCCTTATGTTCAAATTGAAAAAGCATAGGGCCGGCATGGGATGTACGTGTAAATAATTTTCTAAGTTGGGATGTGATAATAAAAAAGAACGTTTCCAATGCAAGTAATGAGGTAGTGTGGGGTAACCCTAAATAGTAAGGGCAGACTTTGGATGCCAATGGGACAATGTCCATTAGCTCACGAGGATAGTCCTTGAATATTAAAGGCAGCTTAGCCTTTTCCCTCTTGCATTTGCAATATTATTATTCTTGTCGACCCCTCTCTCTTTCCACTTTTGCATCTGTTTAAGTTTACATTGATTACACTTTCATTGGGGTCCATAATTTTAATTTTCACTAGTCCTTTATGTTATTTTTATAAATTTGGGGGGCCCATAAGTAAATAAGGTTTTGTTTTCTATATATTTATTTGATATGCAATTTCTTTCATAAGCATTTGAATTCAAGTTTCAAAAAAATTTCTTAGTTTTGGAGGTTTTTATTTTTTATTTTTTTAACCATTATTAGGAGGAGGGGGAGAATTGGAAATCTATTACAATAATTTAAGAGAATTGAGAGTTTTGAACACAAGACATATGCTCGAGATTTGTAATTCAAAGGTCAAATAAGGCCTTAGGTTACAACGATAGTGTGTTGTTTAGTACATTAGAAACAAAGGTTACAAACTTTCACATTTAATATGATTAGTGTCATTTTCAGTGAAACTAAAATACAAATTAAAGATGTTATATTTTGTGAAGACCTTACAAATGACGCTATCCCAAAAACTTGTATGAAAGTTTGTCCCACTCTAGATGGGGATGGGGACTTTGATTAGTACATTAGAAACAAAGGTGGGAGGGAGGGTGAATGAACTTGCACTCTCACAAAACATAAACTAGACCAAAGGGCAAGGGCAGAGAGAGAGAGAGAGAGAGAGAGAGAAGAGGAAGTAACCGTTGAGCAACCACAAGATCTTGAAAATCCAAAGGAAAGGTGAGTGGGAAAGAAAGGTTTGATTGGGTGGTAGGTGCGGTGAATAGAAAGAAGCTCACGAGATCCTTGGCTTTCTTTCTATTACCCCTGAAAATTATTCTCTCTCTTTCTCTCTGTGTGGCTGCTACTGCTGCAATTCAATTTCAATCCCATCTTTCTCTCTCTCTCTCTCTCTCCTCTTTACTTACTACTACTACTACTCTTCCTATTCAATTAGTGATGTGTCAACCACATGCTTGAGATTTGTAATTCAAAGGTCAAATAAGGCCGCCCTTTGGGAGTTCTTAGTAGTAATTGGATACTACAAGTCTATGACAAGAGTCATGCGGTAAAGGATCAGCATGAGACGAGCTGTAAACTTAAACAACAATCGAGTAGTATAATGATGAAGATGAAACGAGCTCGTTGAGATGTAGTTCAAACTTTACATAGGATAAAAACAACAATCAAGTAGTAAATGGATAAGTTGATAAGCATTTGATACGATGTAAGTCAAACAACAAGCTAGTGTAAATAAAATGAGTATGAAACGAGTTATAAACTAAAAAACAATTCAAAACATTTAAAACGGGTAAACGAGAGATAAAACAATGAGCGTTTGATAAGCTATAAACTTAAATAACAACAGAGTGTTAAAAGATGACTGTACGGTTGTAAACTTAAATGTAGTTGCAATTTTTGAAAATGGTAAAAACAAGGGGGAGCGATAAAGGATGGCGGTGAGAAAGGTTATAAACTTAAATAACAATCAAGTGGTAAAGGATGAGCATGAGACAAGTTGTAAATTTAGTTGTAGTTCAAACTTCGAAAAGGATAAAAACAAGGATCTAATTGTGAAAACATAAGCATGGGACAGGGTAGAAATTAACATTGGGATTTACCCCAAGAACATTATGTGTTATAGAATATTACCAAGAACATGTAAAACATGCAGCAAACAAAATAGTTGGTGAAACAGCAGCATCACCTTTATAAGCATTTGTAATTATACTAAGCCACCTTACTTTTGTCTAATAGTTACCTAACTTGTTCACGAACAGGAAAAACAGCAAAAAAAGTGGTTCTGCAGCGAGATTAGAAGTAAACTAGGGTTGCAGATATTCCAATTAAAATTTCCCTAATCTGCAATTTCAATATATTCATATTATGTGTTTAGATTTAACAACTATAAAGCACATTTTCTGTGACATGTGATGTTTGATATATGTTGGGGCACGTAGCTGCATGTTCTTGCTCATGATCAATGCAAGACATAAACCTAGAAATATATATATATTGCAGCAAGACATATGCAGCTTACTTATCATGTTGTGAATAGGGACAGGTATCGATTTAGACCACTGATGGAAAATTATAATCACACATCTCAAATTATTTCTCCTACACCTTTTTAATTTTTTAATATTTTTCTATCATGTGTTATTGATGTGTAGAAAATATTAAAAAATTAAAATGATGGGAGAGAAGTAATTTGAGGTGTGTGAATATAATCTCTCTAAATACAATTCCAGCCTATCATTCCAATTGTTGACATGCATTGGCTTTTATTGACGCAAATTTTGAAGCAAAGGGATAGAACTATCACTATTTTCCTACACACACGCAGAGAGAGACACAGAGACTGGCTTGGCTTTCAGCTGTATTTATGCCTGAGAACAAAATACTTTTGAAACTCTAAGTAGTTTCTTGAATAGTTTGAATCCAAAATAACTTTGGCATCTATGTTGATCGAATGCGGCGTGAACACATGGGTTGTTTGGTGTCTACATGAGATTGGATTGGATAACATGCTAAATTAATTTAAGGTATGTTCAAGAAAGAAATTTTGTCAAAGTTAATCTCCTTCGATCCTCACGAAATGATAAGATATCAAAACTGCTAAGTCATTCACCTCTACTTTCATTCTTACTTCAACGTGCCTTAAACCTTGGTTCTTAAATCCAATCTAATCACATCCAAGGCCCTAAACGAGCCCTTTTGGACAAGGCATGCACCTAGACACCTAATAAAAAGAACCGCCTGGGCCCTCACACATGTCCTGCCTAGTCCCCTACACGCCTCTCGACTAGCGTCTAGCGCCTTTTAATTAGAACCTAAGAGAAGGACTTAAATGAAACATGTGTAGTATTACTCAGGTATTCAATGCCATGTAAGTTGCTTTTAGTGACAATGGGGTACGGTAAGTGTGCTGCACTAGAGTTAGACTATTTGGTAGAATTTTCTCTAATTTAGAGGATCGGAGCACACCCTATCGTCACCTATGATTGATAAGGATACCAGAGAAGTATTTGTGTTAAATATATCTTACCTTCATCACATAACTTACAACATAGTATACCATATGTAATATGTGACCTAGCGTAAGACACATGAGAGGCGTGTATAACGCATAAGAGTTAAGTGCATAAGAGTACAAAGAGATAAGAATTTCAACAAGAACAATTAAACAAAAAACATATGATTTGAAGGGAAAGTGCTTTTATAGTCTACTCAAGTTAAGGAAAGTATGTTAATAGCCATAACCATAAGTACAAAGTACTAATGACCTAGCTTAACACACATGTGAGGAGTGTGTGACGCATAAGAATTAGGTGCATAAGAGTATAACAATTACTTAGGAGATAAGAAATTTAATTGGAACACTAGAAAAGCTTAGAAGGATGGTGCAAATATGGTCAAAACAAGATATGATTAAGAAACGTATATTACCAGCCACAAACGTCAGTACAATATATTAATAACCTAGCTTAACACACATATGATACCCATGTAACGCATAAGAGTAAGGTGAAAAAGATGTGCAAACACCAAGCAAATATTCAACCTTATGTTTGAATAAAATAAAAATAAATAAAATTTGCATTGAAGAACTAAAAACAAATTTTAGAGGGAGAAAGAAGGATATCCCTAACACGTGTGAAATATTACCTGTAAATTTGCAATTAACGTTCATATAAAACTCCTCTAATACCAAATGCCATGATTAGAACTCACATAAACCCCTACAAACCTCACACAATCCACCCTCCAAAACCAGTTGAGCTTCTCCTGCAAATCCCGGAATTGCAGAGAAAACCCAGTTCCCCAAAAAGCCGAACCGGAAACGAGGAAGGAAACGCCATGAAAGCTTATCCCCAAAGTTTTTAGTTTTTTTTTCTCTCAGAGTAATCATCACATAAATCCAAATGGTGATAAGATTAGATTCGATTAGAGTGTAACGTTCTCCAGAGGCTATCGTGTCAAGAAATCGCCATAAAGCTATGCCCGTTTCCTTCTGCAACCTCCATTTCTTCCTCCCTTAAAAGCTCTCTCACTTTTTGGTTTTTCTTTCAGTCTCGATCGACCCCTTTCGGTTTCTGCTGACTCTGTCTATTTCCCGAGAGAAACCCAGAAAGGAAAACCCATTTCAGAATGCTGCCGAGGCTGAACGGTGGTGTTTGGATGGACAACAGGGAGGACAGAGACTCTCTTTCCTGGACTAGAACCTCCGCCGCCGCCGCCGGCGGCAGCACCGAGAACAAGGACGAGATGGGTTCTTCTCTGTCGACCTTCAAGTCGATGCTGGAGGTTGAAGACGACTGGTACATGGCGGCAAATAACAGCATCCAGGGCCATTCAGATGTCAGAGACATCACCTTCTCGCCGAGCTTTGCCGACCCAGAAAGCTTGCTGCTCAACCCGGTGGACTCTTCCTCCTCCTGCTCGCCGTCGTCGTCGGTTTTCAACAATCTCGACCCGAATCAGGTTCATTACTACATGCCTCAAAATCCCAACTTGTCTTCGCTGCTTAATGTTGTTCCTAACAACCCTTTGGATCAAGGCTTCGATTTGGGCTGTGACATTGGGTTTCTTGACACTCAAGCTTCGGGTGGCGGTTCGAGTATGATGAACAGGGGAGGTGGGGTTTTATCTGGGTTCAATGATTTGAGCTCCAATAACCAGATGAATGCTCAGAATTTGGGTTCTAATTTACAGTTTTCGACTACCCGCATGCCTCAAGTTCTTGAAAACAGTTCAAAATTTTCGGGTTTTTTAGGTGTGGATGATGGTTCGGCAAATGCTTTGTTTCCCAATAGGCCTAAGTTACTGAGACCACTTGAGTCCTTCCCTTCTGTGGGAGTACAGCCAACTCTTTTCCAGAAAAGAGCAGCGCTCCGGAAAAACATAAGCGATGGTGGAGGGAATTTAGGTGTTTTGGGCTCACAAGGGGGCCTGGTTTTGAACGAAGGGGATGTGCAGAATGAGAAGAAGAGGAAAATGAGCGGCGGAGATGATGTCGATGATCTGAGTTTCGATGGTTCGGGTTTGAACTATGATTCGGATGAGTTTACTGAGAACACTAAGGTTGATGACGGTGCCAAGAATGGTGGGAACGGCTCGAATGCGAATAGCACTGTTACCGGTGGAGGAGGGGGTCATAAGGGGAAGAAGAAAGGGTTGCCTGCCAAGAATCTGATGGCTGAGAGGCGCCGCCGGAAGAAGCTCAATGATAGGCTGTACATGCTGAGATCCGTTGTTCCAAAGATTAGCAAAGTAAGAATTACTTCACATCGTTTGCACAATTTTCTCGTGAATTTGAACATGCAATGATGTTATGTTTTAGGTGATTAATCAGGTCCTAAAAATTCATTAGCAAATTGTTTTTAGCCTTTTCATTTGTTGTACAAGTAGCATCATTTAAAAGGCTCCAAATTACTTGATTTCAATTTAAGATGGCAATAATTTCTGTCACGATCCAACTTTAAGCAATTTTAGATGAAAGATTAGTTAGTAAGTCGCTATTTGGAGGATCTACTAAAACGCTTTCGAAGCTTTGTTCTCTTGTGTTTCATGAATATTGTATGATTTGAATGACATTCCGGCGTGTGATATCAGATGGACAGGGCCTCAATCCTTGGGGATGCAATTGAGTACTTGAAGGAACTTCTGCAGAGGATCAACAACCTCCACAATGAACTGGAGTCAATCCCTCCCGGATCTGCATTGACGCCTACCGGAAATACTTTCCACCCTTTGACACCCACTCCGGCTACTCTGCCAAATCGTATCAAGGAAGAACTTTGCCCCAGCTCATTACCTAGCCCAAATGGCCAAGCTGCAAGGGTAACATCCTCTATGCTTGGAAATTTCTTTTTGCACTTCCTCGATTGAATAAGTAAAATTAGATTTTACTCTTAACTTTTCTAGTGATTTTACTTTTTGCTAAAAACGCGAAAGGAAATGAGTAACTCTGTTCACTTTAGATCAGTTCAGATCAACTCTGTTCTGATGTTGATGATTATATGCAGGTTGAAGTTAGGCTGCGAGAAGGACGAGCAGTTAACATCCACATGTTCTGCGGCCGAAGGCCAGGTCTCTTGCTCTCGACCATGAGAACTTTGGATAACCTTGGGTTAGACATCCAGCAAGCCGTTATCAGCTGTTTCAATGGTTTTGCTATGGATGTCTTCCGTGCCGAGGTATCATTCGTTACACTCATCAGTTCTTTATACATACAGCATCCCACTACTATTATAGTCGCCTAACAGTGGTAAGGAGGGTAATGCTCTCTCACCAGACAGTCGAACATGTTACGTTATCAGAAATCTTGAAACATAGTCAATAGTTAATATCGACTGTTTAACAACATAACACGCTACACAGTTGGATGATAAAACATTTCAGCTAACTTCTCGATATCTTTCAGCAATGCAAGGAAGGCCAAGACGTCGACCCGGATCAGATAAAGGCGGTACTTCTGGATTCGATCGGGTTCCATGGCATGATGTAGATTGCAGCAAAACAACAACTTGAAATTGATTTAACCAAAGACAGGAAGGAGACATGCAATTTGTATATGTTTTGCCAGAGCTCAATTGTTTCGTTCAATCAAGTGTTTAATTAGCAGCTTTTGAAGGAACTTAAACTTGGTAGCTGTCGGTTTTGCTTTGTACCATCAGAAAATTCAGCTCAGTCAGACCTGGATTTACTGATTATTTCTTAAATTTTCAGCTATTTCTTTCCAGTTTTTAAATAATTTTGTGACCGAATTACCCCATAAATGTTATGCCCTTTACAATAATTACGCTATTATCCGAGTCCGGATCCTCGTCGATTCTCTTTGTGAGGATCCCGGATATCCGTGAATTGTGTTCGTTCATCATACATTATGCAATCAGAAATCATTTTAAATATTTTTATTTAAAAATAAACATAAACAGTGCTTGACAAAAACTGATCGTATGATGTACGATGAACGAATACGATTCACGGATCCTTAGAATCCTCACCAAAAGAATCCGAAGAGGGTCCTGTTGGCTATTATCCTACTATTGTGGTGAATGGTTTTCTGCAAGCTTTTTTAGGATTGATTTTTTAAAGAAAACACCGTTACTAATTAGCGCTTTTATTAGATGAATGTCAAATATTTTGTTAAAAATTAAAGTGTTTGTCGATAAAAAAGACATTTAACATCTTTCATTTTTTGTGTGATTTAAAATGATGGGCCACAATCCTTCAGGTTTCACATTGGCAGAAATTTTGAAATACTATCATTTATGCATGCTTTCTAACTATTTGATCATATGATTTTTCTATTAAGCTGATGGCGTGAAAGATATTTGACCTATTTTTAGGCCATGTAAGCCACACTTGCACCGGTTGGACTAATCTACGTGATCGGTTATGGTTTTGATACATTGATTGATTAAGGAAAAGTAAAAATATCACGATAATTGGTTTTGGTTTATGGTGTAAGTGTGACTTCCACATCAATCCAGAAATAGAACCCGCACTTTTCAGGTCACTAAGATGAAAAATTACACAGTTAAACTGTCAGACAACACTAATTGATAAGATTCCAAAATCTCATACCCATTCTAAAAACCGATCCTAACTCAAAAGGGCATAAAACATACTCAACTCAAAAGCACTCAGAGCACGTCTATTTCTAGTACCCGTAACCACTAAGTAATAATAACCTTACCCGTACCCACATCATGTATGATCCATAATATAATTGGGCTTCAAAACGAACATAAGCAATTGGGCTTAAAGGAAAATTAAATAAATGGGCTTCTTCCAATCCAGAGCTGGTTTTATGGTGACGTAATGTGATTATGAGTCTACGAGATCACGAAAGTAGAATGAGACCCATAAAATGGTCCCAACCCAACAAATAATAGGAAGAGGTTTGTGAGGTGGGAGATGTTTGCTTTTTCCTTGGTCATGTATCGTTCTGAATATTCCAAGTACGGTATGTACGATTAGTATTTCCGATCGTATCCATATCCGTACCCGTATGTCTTTGCCTCTTATCCTTTTCTTACCTTGTTTTAATACAAGTTTTATACACGAGACTAGTTCATTTTTGCTTACAACCAACTAGGATCACAAGTTGGAATAGTGTTTCCGATTCTCAAAGTAAAATTTTTGTATCTGAACCTAAAAATTCCGAATCGGATGATTTTTTGAGAAATTTAAACGGAAATCAGAATGCATTTTGAGATTCAAAGAATTCTAAATTTCCTATTCAATCTTTTCATTGTGTTACGAACTTATTTCGATAAAGAAAACTTATTTTTCGATATACCTAAAATTCTGAATTTGATAATTGTGATCCGATCCAATTCAATTCCGAATTTTGGAACGGAAATTGAAAACATTTTATCCGATTCTATCATTCCGAAAAACACCTCTGATGCCGAACAAAATGGGAGAATTGGGCAAATTATGGCAAATGTTGTGGGTGACAAGTGACAACAATGTGTTGCGTGGTTGAATTTGAGGTGTAAAAATTGGATGTCTGCTTTATCCAATCATTTACTGACTAACACCCCAGTACACATATGAAGGGGCATAACCATTTGCATTTGTTTACGGACATTTAATATACTTAGTACTTGAGTCTCTTGAGTCTTGAGTCCATCGAATGAGTTTTGGGTGATATCACATGCCATTAATCAAGGCAGGTCATATGCCAGAGTAAAGACTAGAGCCACTCTGTATTACTGCTTTGTGTTTTTATGCATATTTCTTTTAGTTTTCCTTTTTCTGACTGGGTGCCACTGACATTAAAAAGAAAATGTGTTGTATGCAACTTTATATAATCAGTTTTAGAAGATGCAATTGAATGCATGATGATTTGGTGTTCAAATAATTTAGTATTCGGAACCGTAAACCGGCAAGAATCTATTCGGAACCGGTGTAGACCGAACCGTAAGGTTCTAGTAATAAATTTAAACGGAATCGCACTTAATCGAACTGTTGATATTCTTCCGTTTCGGTTCCGGTTTAGGGGTGGAACAGCACCGTGCCCACCCCTATGCTTTCTAACTATTTGAGCATATGATTTTTCTGTTAAGCCGATGGTGTGAAAGATATTTGACCTATTTTTAGGCCGTGTATGCCACACTTGCACCGGTTGGACTAATCTACGTGATTGGTTATGGTTTTGATACACGGATTGATTAAGGAGAAGTAAAAGTACCACAATAACTAGTTTTGGTCCACGGTGCAAGTATGGCTCCCACGTCAATCCAGAAATAAAACTCACGCTTTTCAGGTCACTAATTTGATGAAAAATTACACAACAAAACCGTCAGACGGCATAAATTGATACAATTCCAAAATCTCATACCCATTCTAAAATTGATCCTAACTCAAAAGGGTATAAAAGGAAAAGGATCCTAAGGATTTGGAGGATCCTGTAATTGTGTTCGCTTATCATACATCATACGGTGAGTTTTCATTAGGTACTATTTATATTTAATTTTAAATTCTAAATGATTTCTGAACGCACGATTTACGATAAACGAACACGATTACGGGATCTTCTGGATCCCCAGCAATGTTTTCGGTGCTCGGAACCACTAAGAAATAATAACCGTACCCGTACCCGTACCCGCATCCTGTATGATCCGTAATATAATTGGGCTTCAAAACAAACATAAGTAATTGGGCTTAAAGAAAATTAAATAAATGGGCTTCTTCCAGTCCAGAGCTAGCTTTGTGGTGACGTAATGTGACGATGAGTCTACGAGATCATGAAAGCAGAATGAGACCCATAAAATGGTCCCAACCCAACAAATAATAGGAAGAAGTTTGTGAGGTGGGAGATGTTTGCTTTCTCCTTGGTCATGTATTGCTCTGAATATTCCAAGTACAGTATGTAGGATTAGTATTTCGTCGTATCCGTGTCTGTACCCGTATGTCTTTGCCTCTTATCCTTTTCTTACCTTATTTTAATACAGGTTTCGTACACGAGACTAGTTCATTTTTGCTTACAACGAACTAGGATCGCAAGTTGGAATGGTGTTTCCGATTCTCGAAGTAAAATTTTTGTATTTGAACCTGAAAATTACGAATCCGATGATTTTTCGAGAAATTTAATTAGAAATCATAATGCATTTAGAGATTCAGAGAATTCTGAATTTCCTATTCAATTTTTTCATAGTGTTACGAACTTATTCCGATAAAGGAAACTTATTTTTCGATATACCTAAAATTCTGAATTTGATAATTGTGATCCGATCCAATTCAATTCCGAATTTTAGAACGAAAATTGGAAACATTTTATCCGATTCTATCCTTCCGAAAAACACCTCTGATGCCGAGACTGTTTTTTAGCATCACGGTCAAACTTCAACAAAATGGGAGAATTAGGGAAATTATGGCAAATGTTGTGGGTGTGACAAGTGACAAGAATGTGTTGTGTGATCAAATTTGAGGTGTAAAAATTGGCCAAAAGATAAAAGTTGGGTGGCTAGAAAGAAAGAAACTCTCTCTCTCTCTCTCTCTCTCTCTCTCTCTCTCTCTCTCAAGGAGCACTATCAAAAGGGTCAAATAAACACTTTCATTAATTACATAAAATTGACAGATACAATGAAAGCTTGCTTGGTTTTGAATAGCATTGTCATTTGTCGTAAAGAGGTTGCTTTACAGCACGAAATTCCTTCACATTACATGTCTTTACGAATAAGCGTCTCAAAACTCTGCACCATAGTCGAAAATATCGTTATCGCTAACATTATCAAGGACTAACGAATTCAAATAGGCTACATGTGGAGTCAAAGCTGTGAACTAGGGGCAGAAAAACCCTCTTATACCGCTCGGAGATTCAAAAGGGTAGCGGTTTCCACTCCCATTTTCTCCTTCAACACTCCTCTACTTGTTCTATCCCTCGATTCTCCTTTGAATTATTCAAGCGAAGGCAAAGGCAAAGAAAATGAAAAGTCCGGGGGAAGAAAGAGTGCAGAACTCAATTGTGCTGCTTGTAAAAATAGCCAAATCTTGACAAAGACGAGGAAGTCCACAGGATTTCGACTTTTAACAATGCCGTCCAGACATGCTCGATTTACAACCCCCAAAAAAAGACAACAAAACTGAAGGCAATGGGTTCCTTAACCAAAAGCATCATAAACATTAGAGAATCTGTGCACTAACTTACATTACAAGGTCGGGAAAATGAGGTTGAACTAGCCTATGTACAATGTGGAATTGTTTGACAAGAAGCTAGGCCCACGTCACCTTGCTCGAACCAAAAGGGTATACATATTTATCTATCTCTATATTATAACCAGATCACTTCCAAATTAACTCCAGAACATGTCCAAAACTAGATCAATCAGAATCGCCACCTATCTGGGGGGCCTTGTCAGCTGAATTTCAAAGTCCAATGGAGAAACGGTCCAACTTGAATGGCTTAGTAGGACCCTCACAAAAGCCACCATGATCATCATCTCGCCCACGAAACTCTACACATTTTCAGTAATGACAGGTGATGGAAATAGCCGAAAAGGGGCATAAAATGGCAACAAAAACAAAATATAATTCAAGGATAATTATATACCTAGTCATATACCTACAAATCTCGAGAACCAGGCTTGACACTTCTATGCATATGGAAGTGGTTGAGACTTTCCCACTCTTGCATCCACACCCTCCGCACCCAATGACAGATTATCCTCCCCATGTGCATTCAAAGTCCCGGGGTTCATCTTTTGGACTTCCTCTCTGGTGTAGATGAAAATCTTCCGAACTATGCTACAAAATTCCCTGTACCAATCATAGAACATCGCTACTTTGTAAAACCTCTTAGTCACAAAAGATTCATATAACATAACTAACCATACTCATCTTAAAAGGCAACAAATGAGTAATCTAGCAGATTGATGAAAGATAAATACTTACTGCCAGGGATCATCTCCAACAAGCATCATATCACCTTCATCATCAGTATACACGATCATCCAATTCTTTTTTGGGGACATCAGCTCACCACCAAACTCAAACAACATGTCCAATTCAGCTATCAGCTCCTCGTAGTTGTCGAACTTGGTAAGATCAACAGACCTACCTAGTGCAATACCCTGCTTGTGAACCTGGAACCAACAGCAATTTATTAAGTTCAGTTTTCAATAGGCCTTCGTATTGTCAACAGAGTTCCAAATAAAGCCTAAGATAATAGTTGGGAAAAAGATAAATACCTTGGTACAACTCCTAGTTGAACCACCCTGGGATTTACCCTGAGCATCTCTGGTATGTTGCTGAGAAATTTGCAAAGCTGGCTCGCTAACAGCCATGGGATTATCTATTGATTTTGAGCCCCTTGATTTTTCAGACTTCAGGTCAGACTCAAAAGCATGAGCTTGGTTATTACGAGGTGACTCATTCATCGCATTTCTGTGTGACAATGCAGGATCTGGTGTTATCAGGGGAATACCAAAGAGCTTGTATTTTCCATCTTTAGGCTTCACAGCTTCATGTTTGTCTAGTAACATCTGTGGTCTCTGCACGATTTCCCTTGCATTCGCCAGGTTCTCAAAAGGTGATGGAGGTGGAGGCATCATCCAATTTCCATGTGGGTGCTCAACTCTCTGCCCATTCATAACAGAAGATTCACCAAACCCACCATATCTAGAATTCCCTTGTGCTTGGTATGACATATTTCCAAGACGTCCTTTCTGATTAGAGTCCAAGCTAAGTGACAGAGATGATGGTAACACAGACCACGAATGCAAGTTATATTTCCCTTCCTTATCCAGTGAATGCTTTCTCATTGAATTAGAAGATACTACACCTTGATCGACAAAAGGTGGACAGATACCATTTGAGGAATCACCATTATTCCCGAAGCCTGACAGCAAATCTGTGTAAGTTGGTTCATTCCTCCCTGAGGACATCCAGTTCTCTGAACCATATCTTCTTGAAGCACATACCCCATCAATCTTCTCTTCATCCATCGACGGTAGCCATGCAACAGATTTCTCAGCAGTATCAGACTCGCTCTCCTGAAAACTGGCTCTCAAGGTCGGCAATTCTTGACCTTGCAAGACCCTTGAAAACCCACCAGGCATCACAGGGTCTACATTTGCTTTTGACAAACCAACTAAAGTAACAAAAGAGGAAAATATTATTTCTTTTTCGAAGGGCAAGAAAAGTAAAAAAGTTCTGCATAAAAGAATTTATGGTATCTAAAAATATTACAATGTCAGTATGGGTATACCTTCCCTAGTAAGGACTGAGGAATCTGGGGATGATGGCACCATATTTGTACGAGATCTTTTTGGCCTGGGCATTGGAAGTGGATTCAGTGCAGGAGGAGCAAGAGCAGGCTCTATTTTCCAAGGTGAAACTCTCTCAGGACGGGGAATAGTAGAAGTCTCATCCCATCTCACCTTTAAGAAACATAAGAATGTTCGTTTTAGCTTACCCAAATAAAACTACAGAAGTACGGCCCTAAGGAATTTTGCCTACCTTAAGGCATCTCCATTTGGAATCTCGCCATCTTTTGGTGTCAGCATCTTCCATTCCAATTATGGTGCCGGTAAACCTATGACAAGATAAACTCATTACACATTTTCAGGTAATTAATATGAACAGAGAGGAAGAATTCAGCATCAACCAAACATACCTCTGCTCTGGAGCTTCTTCACCTTCAAATCTCATCTTAAACCTCATGCCTATAGAATAGTTGTTTTTAACAGACTCCATGTATTGATCAAATGGAACAATGAACTCAGCAGGGCTTGTCCTGTAAACGAACATTTGAAACTACTTCAAAAACAAAATCGAACAAATCATAAAGATCAAATACTATAAACAAAATAAAACGCATTTATTACAGTACATTTGAAATGGTAATTTGAAACCTCTAAACTAATTGCTGAGAAATATACAAATAGACAAAATAAACAACACCTTGGCTTGTAGTATACAGTGAACATGGTTCCTGTTATGATGGCATGCCATGCGGTTGCGAGGACACCAAGATGCATACTGTGACTGGATATCACTGAAGATGGAACACTGCCTTGCTGTCTCATAGCACGTCTAACACCAACACGGAGCTCCCCATTCTCACCCCTAGGAAGTTACATGGTGGTCCCATATCAGAACAAAAATAAATAACAACAGCAAGTTCATGGAATCTCAATTTGTGAGAAATCCACTAACCTTAAAAATATAAATGCATCTCCTGCAACAAGCCTCTTGGAGCTAACGAAAACACTCCAACCACTTTGCAGCAAATGCCTCCGTGGTTGACCTGTCATTCCCAACAGTATGTTTATTATGTAACAATTGTACTGCCAAAAGCGTCTTGTAAATTTTTCTTTCACATCAGAAACAACAGTCCTAAGAGTGTGGTTGGGTAACACCAAAAATACACAGGAATGCAAGGAAGATAAGTATCAAACAAATAGAAGTTACCTCGGAAGATATGGCGAAAGCGCCATTCATTTCCATGCAAGTCTTTGGCACCCAACTCCTGTGTTGGGGGTTGGCGAGACATGTCCTGCCAAAGCAAAAGCCAGAAACAGCAACAATGAATCAAATGAATAAATGAAGAAAAAAGGAATACAACAAACTAAAAGCTGAAAAAAACCAACCAGTGGTGGAAGGCATTCATCTGCATGCCGCCTTAACACTGAAAATCCACCATGGGTGCTTGTATCGGAAGCAGTTAAGGTCTTGCAAAATGAATGTACTTGAAACCGCGGTGGTGGAGGAGGGGGAGGCTCCTTCTCTACTGCATTCTCATCTTGCTAGAATTTAAAAGAACATCAGAATCTCAACCCACAATCAGTTTTACCAGCCCACAATAAATCAGAATCCTCAAGCCGACAACTTACATTTGATTCAGGAAGTAAAGTGACTTGTGCAAATACTTCATCAGTGTCTGGTTCAGCCTATAGTTCAGTAGAAAGAAACATATAATTCACTCACAAAGCTAAATAACTTTAAGTACCGAAGACGCAGCTGAACAATTAAATCCAGAGTTCTCAGTTTTCTTCATAAGATCAGCCACCACACTACCTTCAATGATACATTGATAACCCGGCAGAGAATCTTCGATGGAAGATTATACACTGGCATCTGCTGATCAGCCACCTGATTAGTCGACGCCTCCACCTATTTTTTCAAACCCAGAAAGCCCAATTGACAATTAGTGACAACAGACGAAAACCCAGAAACACAACCGCATATGCATCAGCTAAATAAACCCAACAAATAAACAAATAAAACAATCAAAAATCCATGAAAAAAATGTACATCTTTTGACCCCAAAACGAAAAATGGTAGAAAATGAAAGCATTTGAAACTATTAACTTATGCCAAAACATGGTGAAATACAGAAATTGAAAGCCGACCTGCTCGATGTGTCCTTGAGGGAAGTAAAAGACACGTTCCCGTTCACGCGGCACAGTCACGAGCGGCCCTGCGCAGGCATGCCAAAGCTCCGTGAAAAGCGCCGTCTCAGCATCTACACATAACCCATAAAAAACAATCAGAAACCGCTGCACATGGAATACTGAATAGACCACAATCTGTCGGCGGAAAAGAAACCATATTCGCCGGAATTACCTCTACCGGCGGCGGAAACAGTAGAATGACCGTTATGCCCCTCACCGGCGTTCCTCGCGTCATTGTGGTCGCTGAAGCCGGACGAGAAGGTCTCCCCCCTCTGATTGCCGCAATTGTCCCTTATCGAAACCTCCGATGACGTCATTTCTTCAAAGAGCTCAGCACAGATCTCTCATCTGAAACTCTCCGCCGCTGCAATTTCTCAACTTTCACACCCACCCTAAGATCTAAACGCCTAAAACCCAAAGTCCTCAATCCACCACAAACATCCACGGCTCCGTCTCCGTCTCTGCCTCTCTCTCCCTCTCTCTCTCTCTCTCTCTCTCTCTCTCTTTATAACTCTCAGACCTCAATCAAAACCCTAACCCAAAAGCTCAAACCAGATACAAAGGGTTCAAATTTCCACCACTCCAACCCTGTCTCTCTCGTCGTCCGTCCACAGCTCGACGAAAACCTCTTCGTTTCAGCCGTCGACGCAGAGCTCCGTCGATTCTCAACCAATACTCTCGATTCGACCGTCACTGTCCGTCTCTCTCTCCACTATATCTCTCTCTGCAACTCACTCCCGCTCTGTCTCTCTTTGTGCATGCAGGAAGCAGCTCCAAGCTTTCTCTCTCCTCTTCTCTCTCTCCCTACCTTCTCTCTCCTCTGTGAGTCGCTTAGTGTCTGACAAATGAAAAGGCCCAACCCTGAGTGGTCAAAACAGCGTGCAATGATTTTCAACCGCAGTCAAATTCTAACCAAGTACTGGTGATGACTCGTAGTCTCCGGTGACCTTGCCCTTACCAACCGGCTACACCCGGTCGACACAAGCCCCATACCAGCGACCGCTCGCCTACGTGTTTGATTAATAAAAGGCGGCCGGGAGACAGTACGAAACGATGCTCGCGTTTCTCCGTTCCCATGTGTCGTCTCCTGATTCAGTCGCTCGAGTGCGCGTGGAAGTAACGGCGTCTGGTATGGCTTCCAGGTGTCGGGGAATTATTCGGGATTGGAGCGCGGAGCAAGTAACGGCGTTAGGGAGTGAGAAAAGTTGTTGTGTTTTTATTGGGAAGTGGCGTTGTCGTGCTATCAACGGGCAGGCCTGGATGGATGTAGGAGGGTAGGAGAAGGGGTCCTGTCATAAACCATGGTTACTTTTTCTTTTTCCTTTCATTTTGGCTTTTTTTATATTCCTAATTTTTTTTTACTACGGTAAAAATGTAGAAATTGACATGCATAGCAAAATGTAGAATCTTTTTTTTTTTCAAAAAAAGATTTGAGGAATTGACGTATATTTGGAAATTCATAATCTATTATAAATGATTTACCTAATAATATATATTTTAGTACATAACTCAAGGAATTAATGTGAAATTTCTAGGTTTTCTCTTTTCATTGCATAAATATATGGTTTTTCCTGCTATCAAACAAAGAATCAATACAATTGAAAAATAATCAAATCAAAAACATGAATTCGAAAAAAGGAAGACTGCTCCACTTCTGTGATGAATGTGAAAAGAAATCAGACGTGGAGGGTTGGATTCTTGATGGCGTTTGGTATTTATACCAATCACCCTCAAATCCATTAAAATCCTAACAAATCTTTAGTATTCTCACTACACCTAGATGTGGGTGAACTTATTTAAAAACGTAATTGATTACCCATGAATTTAGATCTATTCTTTAAATCCTCTTAAATCTTAATTTGACTACACTATGATTTTAAACTTTTTTAAAATCCTCTCTCAAAATCCTAATTGACTACACCCTAATTTTTTTTTTTTTTGAACAAACATTATAATCTATACTAAGTGGAGGGAATTGGCTTATCCTCATAATGGACTAGCAATAATGTAGTTCATATTTGCCTTTAGCAAGAATCGAACCCTAATCCTAAATTCCATTAAAATCCTAATTTGACCATACCCCCTTAAACACCCAAATAAAATGATTATACAAGCGACGTCGAATTGAGGAAATAAATGTTCATTTTCTGTTACATTTGAGGGTTTCAAACTCTTGATCTAGTCTACTCCTACTCATCAACATACCCACCCTGACAACCATACAAAGAGCGTATCCAATGGAAGTTCTTATTTAGGGACTCCCACCATCACTTTTGAGTATTCATTTAAAGACTTACAGGGAATCTTTGTGTTCCTAAAGGAATATTGTCTCAAATGGGAGAGTCCTTACAGTAAAATCATAAATTTAAAGTTTTTATAATTTTACGTGATAATTTGATTAGGTGGATTTTTTTTTATGTTAACCCTTTTTTAATTAATTAAAAGCATTAAAATCTTCAATCAAGATTGAGACCCTATTACCACTTGAGGTGCACATTTTTTTGTTCGTTAACCTTATTTTAATTAATTAAAAGCATTAAATTTAAAAACATTAAAAGCATTAAAAGCTTCAATCAAGATTGCAAGTCTCGTTTTCCCCTAAAGGTTGTCCCTATACAGTCCCTGTATGTGAGGACATATACATTATGTATGTGGTAAGTCCCTATACTTTAGAAACTCACCTTCCGATATGTTAGAGATTCATTTTATCATTATATTAGTTTTATACCCATTTTATATGGTGATTTCCTATTTAAGATCTCAACTGGAGATGCTCTAACTCCAACAACTTAAAAATAATGTTCAGAATACTTGAGTTATATACCTCGTGCGAGAAGATAAACATTTGGGTGTATGGGATAAGATTAAATTAAGAGAAATTAAACGGGTTCAAAATTCTAATGTGCGTTTCATGTAATCATTTCCTTAGTTAAGAAGGCTAAACGCCAACCTTAGATTAGGATGACACTAAATTTGGGTTAGGACACATGCTTATTATGGAATTCCTACTCTATGGAGTCAAAGTACCCAAATCTTGTACTTGTATTGCCAATTTTATTCTTGGATTGGACTGGATGAAAGTAACTTTTGATAATGTTAGGTATTGATTGTGACATTTTACAACTTAATTATGTATTATTTATATTTTAGTAATTTGCAATTAGGAATTGTTATTGGCACTTTAAAATTCACATTCTCCACTCCAAACTTTATATATTCATAAAGAAAGGTACATTTATGAGGAGTGTATAAGGAGATTTTTGGAGTGCCAATAACACTTCTCTTATAATTTTGGGTTTTTTTTTTAAATTATTATGTATTGATAGTTGAAGCGCAAGAACAAGAGAAAATTAGAATCTTCATGAATTTTGGCTCAACTGGAGTTTTAGTCTCTAGACTAAATTTATACGAGTATTGGTCCTTAAAGTTGTTAAAATTTGGAGCGATCATTCCTTTGAGTAACAAGGTTAGAACGTCCATCCAAAATAAAATTTAAAAGGGCAAATAAGGGACGAATGTTCTAATGAAATTATCCAAAATAACATCGTTCACAAATAATAAGATCATGAACCAATACTCATTCATTTTTAGTTTTGGAACCAAAGCCCTAATTCAAAGAAAATTCATAAACCAACCCCACCATTTTTCTAAAAACACAAATGTGATGCATCTTAAGATTTTCAATTTTATAAAATAATCCAAAAACAGAGATGAATACAATTAGATTTGGGTTGAATAATACAATTTTGCTTGATTTAGAGGTAAAACCTAATTGTTGTCACACCATGCGCTAACATAGGCCATCTAGAACATGAGCCTTTCTATATATTCATTCATTTCGGTTGGTGCAATTAATTCCGGCGACCTATGTTGTTTTCAACAGAAGGTTTAGGGTTACACTTTTCCATTAATTTATTTATTTATTTATTTTAGTGATACAATTTTGTACATGTGTCAAAACTGTAGAGAACTTGGTTTATTTATAAATTTGTTTTCTAAACAAACACATAAATAAAATTAAGAAATGCTCTACTTTTCCACAACTATTGTTCAAAGTGAATGGAATATCATTATGTATTGGATACAAATGAATAAGTTGGTTGCTTAAGTGGAATGATAGTAATATTTACCTCTACTTGTAATTGGAAGGATGTAGGTTGGAATCTCGTGGCTAGCGTGTTTGATGTTTATTCGTTTCATCATCCATTGGTTTAAAAAAAAAGTAGTATTATATTTCCAACAAAAGTTTAGGTTTTGCTTTTAAAAAAAGAAGCTAGTGTGAATCCTTATATCATCATCAACGAAGATGTCAAATTTTAAATATAAAATTTAAATTTGACATCCTCTGTGACAATTTAACATCTTTTAAAGTTTTGATCTTCACCCGATATCTCAAATTTTAAACATAAAGTAAAAAATCATATTTATTTCCATTGTATTGGTAATGAAAGGAAATGAGCTAAAATGTATAAAAATATTTTAACATTACATTGGTAATGAAAGAAAATGAAAAGGCAATGTTTTAAACTAATAAAAAAACATTTAATAATTAATTAAAAATTATTTGAAGTTTCTTTTATGTCAATCCACGTCATGCCACATATGATTGGTATTTCGGTTGCGAATCCACATCATACTACATAAGAATTGACATTTCGGTTTAAAAACACTAGTTTTGTCTTAATGTGGACTTTTAACATCTCCTTTAAAGATGCTCTTATAAACAAGGCGTAAAATGGATTTCCTAAGACAAAATGAGGAGTGAAATTAAAAAGTAATTGGACCAATATGAAAATCTATTTTTAAACGTCTTATATATGTATTACATGGTTCATTGCATTAAGTAACATTAATCTAAATGAAAATCATGTATGATCCACATCAATAATTAAATCTAATTATTCATAAAATAAACAAATTTTCAACCAATTTGCCAAAACAATTAGATATTTAGTTTGAATAAGTTATGAAGAATTTACCTTGAAATTTGAAAGATTAAATTAAACAGTCGTCAGAATGATCGCTGGAGTGGGGTGGTAGGAGTTTGGATGTTAGAGTAAGAGTTTGGTGGGATTAAGATTTGAGAATTGGAATTGGAACTGAGTTTGGGTGTGCTGCAGCTTGTGGGTCTGCTTTTTTGTTGTAATAAAGTGACTTGGACCAAAAGACATCATTTTGGTCAAATCATATTTGAAAAATAATAATAATAATAATGACAACTCCTCTTTAAGGCGTTTTATCAAGAATTTGAAGTACATGTGTGAAGGGCAACTCCAACCTTCAAAGAAACAGCATTTAAATTATCCATAAACGTTCATCGAAGTTCGTTGAGTCAGCTAACCCCATTGACCCTTAATGGTTCCCCTCTGGATTTACAATATATACACCACTGTACACCATCATGACCCTAATTACAAGGTTAAATATAGCTACGCAAAATATAGATTGATGGAAACATATATAACATTGTAGTTAGGGTCATGATGGTGTAGTTATATACACCATTGTACACCATCATGACCCTAATGACCCATTTAAGAGTAATACCCAAACACCCTTTTTCCATTAATTAAAAAGCAAATTCTCACAGACTCGCATACTTAGATATGTGGCAAGATATTAATCTATATCATTGAACCAGACACATATATGGCAAGAGATTAATCTATATCATTGAACCAGACACGCATGTGGTTCAATATTTTAGAAAAAGTACGAACCAAGATATT